AAAAAAAAGACTGCTTGTATTGGTGTAATTGATTTTTGGCCTATGATATATGAAACATATGTCAAATATGTCCTTCAAATGATCTCAGGTTGTCTTGAGCCACCAACAACACTCTTGTTTTATCCAGCTAATAAGTCTCTTTGACATTAAAAGTGTGTTTTTTCAAGAGACAGTTGGTTAAGATGGCAGCAGATATAACGAAGTAGTTCAATAAAGATATTTTAAGTGGCCAAAAAGGACTGGATTGGTTATAAAGCAGGTACAATAACACAGGTTCATACTTACAACATAACTTAATATATAATTCATCTCTAAATCATGTTCTCTACAGTCTGTTTACCAATATAAGTAAAGACATTACACAAAAAAACAAACAAACATTGAAACATTGGAAATCACTTTGTTACAACACCTACTTCAGTTTCCTCCACCTCAGCTTCACAGAGAAACTAACACACCTCCCCTGTGAATAAAGCACAATCTGTGTTTGTAAGTGCAAAATGATTTTAAAAAAAGCTTCAGAGAATGTAATAAAGTAAGCCTGACAATAATATATTCTTTTTGTTTACTAATAACTGGATTCAAATCCATAAATCAACTGCTCGTTTGAAACTCTGATTGGCAGCAGCTCACTGATCAGTCTGCTCAATCTCATCTTTTTCTGGAGGCGATTAATCAGTCAATAGATCAGTTTGATGGAGAAGGTGATCAGTAGTACTTTGGGACTTTTACTTTTGAAGGACTCAGCGGTGTTTGTAACGCCACCCTGAAGTCATCGGATGAACATCGTTTTTTCTTCTCTGTAGACTGTAGACCCGATGAAAGGTAAAACCAAACAGTTGTGGATTAAGCTTACTTGTTGTTCCTAGAGTATTTAAAACTAGAATGGGAGGCAGAGCCTTCAGTTTTCAGGCCCCTCTTCTATGGAACCACCTTCCTGTTTGGATTCAGGAGACAGACACTATCTCTACTTCCAAAATTAGGCTTCAAACTTTCCTTTCTGCTAAAGCATACAGTTAGGGCTTGATCAGGTGACCCTGAATCCTCCCTTAGTTATACTGCAATAGGTGTAGGCTGCTGGTGGATTCCCATGATGCATTGAGTTTTTCTTCTTCAGTCACCTTTCTCGCTCACTATGTGTTAATAGAGCTCTCTGACTCTCTTCCACAGCATGTTTTTTGTCCTGTCTTTCACTGTATTTGATTTTGCACTGTAGAAATAAAACTGAATTGAATAAACTGAACTGAATTAAGCGTGAGTGAGTGTTTAAAGAAGCCTGCAACATTGCCACAGATATGATTTTAATATAAACGATGAAATGAAGACTCAGTTTGCTAATAACCAGATTAAAATCAGCGGCGCTGCATGAAGCTGAAACTCTGCTCACAAATGTTCTGGCTCATGTATCTGCAGACGGTTGAACCTCAGACAGCTGAAAGGAAGACGTCTCATTTCAGGATGAGTGACTCTATGAAGACTCAGCTGGTGAGCTCCATCCATCTGCAGGAGGTGGAACTGCAGGAGAAACCTGCCGACGACAAGCAGGACAGCAACAATAGCAACAATGGTGAGTCCGATAATCGATAATCAAACATCTGGACATGATGTGATGCCCTTGGAAACATTGGAGGGTCCTGTGAGGTCCTTTGAAACGTTTCCTAAAAAGGTTGTGATGTTATTGTGAATGAACCTGTCTGCAAAAACATCAGGAGAAGCACAGTAGGTTTCTGCCATGGGCAGGTTTTAACAGTCAGTTTTACTACAGAGACCTTCTTTGTACTTCATTTCAGTCCAGCTTTATTCCTAAAGCACTTAACAGCAGAAGTCACATGACGATGCTTTATTCTGAAAGGTAAAGACTCGAATTCCTGTTCAAAGAATTTCCTTTGAACAGGAAGAAACCTCCAACAGAACCAGGATCAGGCGTTCCTGATCAGGAGATATGACCCTGTTGTAGGGTCATATCAGTCCACCACAGAAGAACTAGTTCTCACCACCTCATTTCCCTCATTATGAAATTAAAGGTGTCTGTCACAGCGATTCTGAGCAAGAGGAAGTTGGTGATGTTAGCTGATGTATTGATTGATTCTTGCAGCAGATAAAACGTTTACAGTGGAGGATGCCGTGGAGAAAATCGGCTTTGGGCGTTTTCACATTCTGCTGTTTGTCATCATGGGCAGCTCCAATGTGAGTAATGTTTATGCTCAGCAGCAAAATACTCAGAGTATTTAAAATAATCAGGGTGCTCACTGTGTGTGTGTG